TTGGTTGTCGTATCCCTAGTGCCACGCAAGCCTGACCCTTAGTAGGTGTTCAATTAAATATATGTTGAATAAATGTTAAATAACAAAAGTTTTGACAAGGTGGTAATGAGTAACTTTTTGATCACAGCATGCATTATTTCCTTTTTATTGCTTTCTCAATACTGTTGGGCCATTTAGCAGACTATGAGGCCTTGGCCAAGGAGGCTTAAGTTATACATGCTTAGGATCCTCTTTTAAAGACAGGTTGAAATAACCACATGGTAGGCAGAGTCATGTCCCTACCCAGATGAGATTCTTGTCCTAACTCCTAGAACCTGCAAATATCTTACCCTAGATGGCAAAGGGAATGAAGGCTGCAGTGAAATTAAGGCAGAACTTGAAACCAGTCGGTCATTTGCCAAGGTCACTAAGGGAAACTGTGAAAACGAGTAAGGGTGCTTGCAGCTTCAGTGAGGTGCCACCTAGTCCTGAATACACAAGTCAGCTTTCCCTGAAAAAGAATAAGGCATCTGTAAGAAAAACCAGAAATCAGAAGGAATGAACTTTAACTGTGTTGAAAGTATGAAGGGAATGTTTTATTTAAAAAAAAAAATAATAATATCATTAATGCAAGACTAATGCCCCACAGTTTTTCTCAAAAAAAAAAGAATAAAAATAATGTTCTCTGTTATAATCCTTTTGTGATTGCCTCTCTTTTTCAAATAGATATTTCATATTATTCAAAGAGAAGTAACCTTCTTAGTTGATTGGTTAGAACTTTGATCTGCTCACCAGATCCAAACTGCAGGCACCGATCTGGTGTATTTATACTGAAGTCATCAGTGATCAGACCTCAAACACTCTTTGTTTTGGGTAGTTATCTCTTTGCTGTGGACCCCATAAAGTTGCTCCTAGGAGTCAGCTGTCAACTAGAACAATAGACTGTGAGCGACTTACTAAAAGTGCCTCAGAAGGGTTTATGATTTACTCTGAAACATGCGTCAATCTCAAGGTTCCAAAGTGCATCAGGACAGGATTTCCAAATCATTTCACAATCCAATTTTGAGCAGTTATTTGGGTTTGGTGTGAGCTGTCCAGAGTTGATGGAGTATTTGGAGAACTGAGCAACGGGGAGGGTCACAGTGCTGTGTGATACTTGGGTCAGGCTCCAGTCCTGAGTTTAAAGTACCATTTACAAATTATTTGTTGTCTGATTGACTTCCAGTGAAGTTCTAGCAGTGTTGTCTTTACATTCCTCTAAATAAAACATGCTCTCAAAATGTTCCTGTGTTAAGAAGGAAGTCCAATGTACAATGTGAATTTTTGGAAAAATCACTACTTTTCACATGGATAAAGACCACCATTTTGGACATTCGTTAACAGTACTTAGAAATATAATTAGAAATCAATGGTTGTTTTTGTTTGTTTGTTTTGAAAGGCCTGGCTCCCAGACCCCAAATCTTCCATTTACCATTCTTTTAATAATGTGTTTTTCTCCCTTTTTAGCCAGATTGACTCAAATAATCATTAGAGGCTCACTGTCCCCAGTTGCTCCCCAAAATCTATTCATTAATTTGACACTTCTGGATGGAATGCATGATTTTGATTGCATAAATTCTGAGCCCTAAAGCCACCCATTGTGAGGGGAAAGGATGGGAAGGAGTCAGAGGAGTCCGTGACATTGGCGCACGGGTTTGAATCATTCTTACTGCTTAGCCTCTAAAGCTGTTTTTAGATTTTGAAACAGCAAAGAGAAGGGAGCCTTTGCGCTTGGAGCTCAGACCAACGAAACAAAGCAGTGAACACAATTAGCTGTGAGAGAGGGAACTAAGGTAATAGGAAGGAGGAACAGGAGCCCAGAGATCCTGTCTACTGGCCAGTCCTGGCTCTAGGGGCCAGGGTTCAGGCTCTCAGGCTGGGACGATGTCCTGTTAGATACTTGAGTTGGAGTAACCTTGGAGCGCCTGGGGGCCTGAAATGTCTGGGGTGTCACTAATGATATGGGCTCTAATTGACCTTGGTCAAAAGTAACCCTCATTGTCTAATCAACATATTTCTCCATATAGACCTTGAAAAATGATCCAGAACGCAAAGATAGGTTTGCAATTTAAGAGTTAAGTCATGATTTGTTAATAACACATTTTTTTTTCTTTTTTAAAAAATTTATTTATTAATTCTAATTTGTTATATATGACGGCAGGATGCATTTCAATTCATAGTACACATATAGAGCACAATTTTTCATGTCTCTGGTGGTACACAATAGAGTCACACCATTTGTGTTTTCATACATGGACTTAGGGTAATGTATCCATCTCACTCCACCATCTTTCCTACCCCCACGCCCCCTCCCTTTTCCTCCCTTCCCTTTGCCCTATCTAAACATCCTCTATTGTTTCCATGCTCCCCCTGCATCCTCATGATGGATCAGCATACTCATATCAGAGAAAACATTTGACATTTGGTTTTTTGGGATTGACTGACTTCACTTAGCATAATATTTTCCAACTCCATCCATTTACCTGCAAATGCCATGATTTTTATGTTCATTTTTTAATGCTGAGTAATATTCCATTGTGTATATATACTACATTTTCTTTATCTGTTCATCTGTTGAAGGGCACCTAGGTTGATTCCATAGTTTAGCTATTGTGAATTGTGCTGCTATAAACATTGATGTGGCTGTGTCACTATAGTATGCTGTTTTTAAGAAATAGACAACTCAACTCTGAAGGCTAATTCAAGTGAAAGGTGAGCCTATCAATACTTTAATCTCCTGGCACAGCAGAAAAATACCCAACTTTCCTAATCTCTAAACTTTTTGGAGCCCTGTTATACAATTTTAAAAGGTGGTTTTTGAGATACTTTCTGGGATATTTGCATAATATGTTAATTTTTCATTCATATGATCATGAAAGTGAGTTTTTCTTTGAAATGACTTAAGTGTAGTCAAGTTTCTGAACCAATCAGATTACTCATTTACACTTGGAAGGAGACTAAAACTATGAGATCATATATGATAATCAATCCAATATTAATCTTATCAGCTGAAAAATTCAGAATTATTGATAGTTTTCAATTTGTGTCTTTGATTTATTTTCCTGGCATTCACTTGTCTCGTTCTGTTTCCCTGCTTGACACTTTTATAATGTCAGTGGTGGCCCCAAATTCATTCAAGTGATCGGCATCTTTCTAAAGTGAACAATTGTCTACCTTCCCTTGTAGGTGCGTTTAAAATCTCATTTCTGTCTCTTCTCCTTCAGTGCGTTGGTTATACATTCCTAATTCCTGAAAAGCAACAAGCACCATTTTAAACCATGTCACTATCCAGTTTAAATTGTCTGTCTGATGATTTGATTAAAGCTACAAAGAACTCCTTGAAACTAAAGCTTCTTAGAATGAACACAAATGCTACTGAGGCAAGCTTGCCGCACTTAACCTGCACTCAGGGGTTTCAAGAGAAATACATTCAGGAGAGGAATCAATCACAAACTAAATCCCACCCCTGGGCCTCCTTATACAATCCGTCAAGAAGCTTTAAGTATGGATGGGCTTCTGTATGATTGAATCATAGCTATCCATCCCAGCTTCCAAAGTCTCTTAAGAAAGTCAGGAGATATGTATTAACAAAGATATAAAAAGAAAAACCAGCCACATCAACATTAAAACCACCATCACAAGATAATCCAGAACCCAGGGGCTCATTCATAAATCATCAGTGCCGTCCTAGAAACTAAAATTACACATGATACTGAGATGTCAAAACATTTAACTTTGATGACCCTTGAATAATAATTTGGTAGTTCTTGGATATTTCCAACCACTTTACTATTTATACCCTCTCAAAGTCTGGATGCTCAGCCTGAGGTGGTACATCAGTTTTCTGCCGTAGGGAAGGTTGTAATGTTTAATGGAATAATTAAGGTGATGTGTTATGGGCATTGGAGCGTTCAGTTTCTGTGATGTGTTTTTCACCATTGTGGGTAACTCATCAGACTGCAGAGAAAAACGTTCACCGGTTTACCAGAAAACAACAGTTAAGTCTCTGATCTAGATAATTTTAGATGCTTTGATTTCACTGTAGAAATTCCTAGACTACTTGTGGGATAAAGCAAATGCTTTTGACCATATTGAATTTCATCAAGCTAAATTAGCAGAAAATAAAGATAAAATGCCTTTCTATTTAAGAACATGATAATGTTTTAATTGTCATAGCATTTGGCCTGCCTAATGTATACAATCCTTGACATTCATATAATAACGAAAGAAAGTTGTTTGGAATTTTTCTTTTATTTCCTAGTGTCCGCTTTCCTTTCTACTATTTCTCCCATGCCTACCCCAGCCCTGGCCTTTAGCTCTCCTCCCACTTCCTCATCCTTCTTTAAAGAAAGCCTTGTGTGAGAAGAGACGCATGTAAAAATACCTCATTTCTATATAGATAGGCCAAGGCTGCGGCTGCCTGTTACCTAGCTATGATGAATAGACCACCATCGTTGTGACAACTGATATAGATGCCTCGGGGTGAAACAGGGGTTTACATATTACACAAGCAATTTAACTGTTTTCTAAACATATTGCCAAGACAGTGGGAGTTGGCAGCCCACACTGTGTTTTAGGTTTGGGAGACTTGGATTAGAAGTGACTGTTGATTAGGAACCTTTTATTTGTCTTCTACGAATGAACAAGCAACCTAGTAACCCAGGAAAGAATTCTTCACAGCGCTTAAACTTGTCGTCCTAGCTCCCTGAGATTACATACACAAATCATGGGACAAAAGTGGTATAAGACTCTTGTGCGTAGATAACCACACAAGACAATGGTCTTGTGCTAACCCTTCAAGAGTTCCACGCAGTGAAATGTTTTATAATCCTTTTTTGTGCAGTAAGGCAAGGAAGAAAAGAAAAGAGGTTGGGCAAAGATTATCCAGGAGAAAGAAAGAGACTCTTTTGGGGGTTCCAGTTGAAACACTATAAAGGACATAATTAACTTCACAATTCTTTGTGTTTTTCATTTGACTGCAGGGAGGAGATGAAAGAGGACTGCTAAGCCTTGCATTCCATCCCAATTACAAGAAAAATGGAAAGCTGTATGTGTCTTATACCACCAACCAAGAACGGTGGGCTATCGGGCCTCATGACCACATTCTTAGAGTTGTGGAATACACAGTGTCCAGGTATGGCTGAAATCCATCGGAGCATACTGATTCTGTAATCTTGTTTTCTCTTCATCCTTTCATAAGCTTTTTGTTTAGAAATTGCCAATAATTAGCCAAAAGGTGGCAGTAATTAAAGCGAAAATCTCCATCTTGCTTAAAATCCCATGTGTGTATGTATTTAAGAGAAATTGAGAAAAATGATAGCTCTGTCATTTTTCTTGGTTATCTTTCAGCTTCAGCACAGCTTCTAAAACTTAGAAATCAATGACATTCTCAGTGATTTTTTTTATTAGCTCCATTCAAGCGTATGTTTCCTTATTTATGTGTGAGATGTTTGTATTTCTGTTTGTGTACTCTTAACATTTTAGTAGAAGATTCACCTTTCATCTTTAACAATCTCCGTATTTCCTCTCCTCACAATGTAGGAAAAATCCCCATCAAGTTGATTTGAGAACAGCCAGAGTGTTTCTGGAAGTCGCAGAGCTGCACCGAAAGCATCTGGGAGGACAACTGCTCTTTGGTCCTGACGGCTTTCTGTATATCATCCTCGGAGACGGGATGATCACGCTGGACGACATGGAAGAAATGGATGGGTTGAGGTAAAAGTCAAAGTGAACAGGTGCTCATTGGTGTTAAGATGTTCGCCCTGGCCGCAGGAAGGGTCTGAGCTAGTGAGTTAGGAATCCTTAAATAAAATATAAAAAAGGGCTGGAGGGGCTGGGGTGGTGGCTCAGCAGTAGAGTGCTCACCTAGCATGTGCTAGGCCCTGGGTTCCATCCTCAGCACCACATATAAATAAATAAATAAATAAAGGTATTGTGTCCAACTACAACTGAAAATTAAAAAATTAAATAAAAATTTTTTAAAAAAGGGCTGGAGATGTAGCTCAGTGGTTAAGCACCTCTGGGTTCAATTCCCAGTACCATTAAAAAAAGAAAGAAAGAACCATCTTTGAATCACATCACTTGCCTAGGTAAATGACTTTAGTTGTCAGTGTCAGCATTCGTAAACTGAAGAGGAATTCAATATCATGCTGATATAATATTGATATAATGTTGCATACTTCTGAGCTGTGGGGACTGCTCCTATAATACCCAGCACTGAGAAGTGAGCGGTACCCCTCTCTGGTGTCAGCAGCCCTGCATGCCCACATAGTCCTTGGTCACCTTCTAGCTATGTCTTAGAGTGGTGCCTTATCTGAACCCATTTAGCAGTGCCTTCTCTGCCCCTCCTTTCATTTTCCACCATATGGAACTTGGAACCTTAATAATGTTGTCTTGAATAAGCAGATGGTTCTTTTATTCATAGAGCAATGTCACCACGTTTAGTTTAGGCAAAAGGAAAGCACTTATGCCCTCCTCCAATTTCTCAGTGATTTCACAGGCTCGGTACTACGGCTGGACGTGGACACAGATGTGTGCAGCGTGCCTTATTCCATACCAAGGAGCAACCCGCACTTCAACAGCACCAACCAGCCCCCAGAAGTGTTTGCCCACGGACTCCACGATCCAGGCAGGTGAGAATGCAAACCTGTCTTCGCTGCTGCTTTAAAGCAGGGCTGGAATTTGGCAACTGGGAAAAGGCAGAGGGTGTCAGATCACAGACTGCTGAGGGTGGTGCCCCATGTTGTGATGGAAATCTTACCAGGTCATTATCCGAGCAAGTCTTCAGCCCTCTTTGTTCTATTAATGTGTGAAGCAGATTGAGATAGCAGATTAGACAAGGGAAAGGGCAAATTCATAGAGAAAATCTGTCTCATATTTGGGGGGGGCGATTTTTATTTGCTAAACATTATTGAACTAGTAGATTTCAATCTGAATAATTTTAAGCGATCATTAACCTTTGGATTTGTTTTCTTAAACCCGCCTAAATTTTATTTTCTTTATTGTCTTTGTCTGTTTGGTGCTGCTATAACAGAATACCACCGATTGGGTGATTTATAAAGAATACAGGTTATTTTGATCATTATTCTGGAAGCTGGAAAGTCCAAGGGCATGGTACTGGCATTTGCTCAGCATCTGCTGTGTCATCACATGGTGGAGAAGAGAGGGCCATAGAGGGAGGAGGAAGGGAGGTAGGGGACAGAGACAGAGGTGGCCAACTCATCCTTTTATCAGAGCTCACTCCTGGTGTAACTAACTCACTCCCACAATAACATCATTCACCCACTCACCTCGTACAGACCTCACTGGGAGAGGTGGTGCATGCCAGTAATACCAGCAGCTCGGGAAGCTGAGACAGGAGGATCACGAGTTCAAAGCCAGCCTCAGCAAAATCAAGGTGCTAAGCAACTCAGCGAGACCCTGTCTCTAAATAAAATACAAAATAGGGCTGGGGATGTGGCTCAGTGGTTGAGTGCCCCTGAGTTCAATCCCCGGTATGCCCACCTCCAAAAAAGACCTCACCACTCAACACTGTTGGTTGCACTGAGGATTAAGAGTCCAGCACATGAACATGGTAGGACACAGTCAAACCACAGCTCTAACCTATTAAACGGGGGTGATAACAACTACGTTGTAAGGATGCTGTTGTCATTCAATAAAAATCTATAGGTAAAGCACAAAGTACCACTCTTGATAGTTCTTACCATAACTTCCCTTAACATAGGATGAGCAGAGTTAATTTGCAAGGAGTTGAACTAAATGTTAACTTTTTTTTTAATGTGGAAAAAAAATACAAATACTAAAGGAACTCATTGGCTGCTTGCTGTACTAACAAACCAAAAAGAAACAAAAACTAAGAAGTGCATAGAATGAGAAATTTTAGGTACCCTGAAAAATACTCCTCAGTATAACACAGAATTCCATGACGAAAGCCCCACCCGGTCTGCAGTCTATTATTCTTACTAAGGGGTATCTGGCCACATTCGTTCATTTATTAGCTGAGTTATTATTTCTGTTTAATGTTTATTGAGTGTTCACTATGTGCAAGGTGAATATTTCTCAAAATTTTTTATTTTCATAATCCCTCATGCCCTTCATCTCCCCTCCATCAAAGCCCAGGCCCACAGTTCATTTCCTTTTTGGCATCTCAGCAGATCTTAAAATCTGTTCGACAGGGAATACTTAAGGTGGGTTCAGGATGTGGGGGAAACTGTCACATTCCATTCCGATGGCTCAGAACTCACAGATACCACCACCAAGCAGCACTTTGAAGTCCAGCAGCCTGAGTCACCACAAGCCCACTGGAGCCTTCTTACAATCTTCCTGGGGGTCCTGAATCTCGGTGTGAAAACACGGATGAAGTGCCTCCCAGAACATAAGTGTGGCAAGATGCCTGCGCAGTGGAGTCCCACCTCCTCTGGCGGCAGAGGGCCGCAGAAGGAAATGTCAGTGTTTATATTCCACCTCCCTCCAAGAGAATTTTAAGCTGAAAAAGGTTTCATAAAGCTGAAAAGAAACTAAATTATGGGCTAAAAGCAAACCTCGCTGTTATTAAGCAGCTGACTGCAGGGTGCTAACCTAGGTATCCCATAGACAGTATCTCCTTTATGTCTCTCAGCAGTGACCAGAGGCAGCCAGCATCTGCACCCCCAAAACCCTCTTTTTTAATAGACTTATCCTTCAGAGCACTTGTGAGTTCACAGCAAAATTGAGCAAACGGTAGTGACATTTCCTGTGCACCCCATCTCCTCTTAAATATAGCCTCTGCCATTATCATACCCCACTGGAGTGGGACATGGGTTCCAGTGATGGTCTGATATTGGTACAACAAAATCACCCAGCACCCATGGAGTGCATTAAGGAGCACTGTTGATGGTGTACTATTTGGGTTTGGACAAATGGATAATGACATGTAGCCGCCGTAGTAGCATCCTATTGAGCAGTTGCACTGTCTGGCCCCTTTTATGTAAGAAACTGAATGTAAAGGGTACCCACAGTTCTCAGTGGACCTGGTGGCAGCCGGAGCCAGAGCTCACAGCCCCTAGCCATTCCACCTCTGAGAGAACTGGCCTTCTCTTCCAGATTTGCTGTTTCTTGTTGGAAACAAGTCAGACCTCTTTTTGCATAGCTTCTCCATCTTCAAAAGAACCGTAATACAGGAAAATTTTCTCATGCCATGTGGGTTTAGTTCCACCTTAAGTCACAGCATGTCTGTGCGATGATCCCTGCCAGGCATTGTCTTCGGTGAATCACTGAATTAAAAGGGGACAATAAAAGGACTGTTGCCTCAGAATAACCAGCCCATCTTTGGCAGGTCAGGCGAACAGTTTCCTTATCATGAATGGGATCATTTGGAGCCAAAAAAGTTGTTGTTTTATTTTGTTTAAAAATAATTGCTACATAACTCTCATGTCTTTAAGGCCCAGACTCTACGCTCATTTTTTTTTAATTCTTAAAATTCATTTAATAGCCCCAGTGGTTTGGTTTTGTCTGTAAGTAATTAATGTATTTTGTTGGCCCAACACAGTGATTCTCAATGGAATGATTTTGCCTCCAGGGGACCTTGGCAATGCCTGGAAACATTTTTTTTTTTTTTTTGGTTTTAACAACTGGGTAGGATAGGGATGGGGGTAAACTGACATTACTGGCATTTAGTGGGTCGAGGCCAGGGATCCTGCCAAACAATTTCTGACTGGCAGGACAGCCCGCCCCCTCCAAAATAAAGATTACCTGGCCCAAATTTTTGAGCAACCTAAATAGCAATACAAGCCTGTTTTTCACATTTTGGAGAACTGATTATTTAAACTTCATTCTTCCTCCAGACTCTTTATGCTTACTCCTTCACTGACTTAAACATTCAACAAATACTGAGCCCCTCTTCCATCCTCAGCTTTGAACTAGGTCACAGGAATCTAGTGATAAGGAAGCTGCAAGTGATGTCTGCCCCTCCTAGAGCTGAAGTCCGTGGCTGGAGTCTCAGAGGTTTCTGGACCCCGGATGAGGTGCCGAGACCATGAAGACAGGGCAGACATAAAAGTCCTTTGTGCTTGTGGGGACCAACTTTATTTCACTCTGGCATTGGAATCCATGTTTTCCTCTGTTGGAGCAGAGCCATGCTGAGCTTTAGAATGTAGCATCAGAACTAATACTACCCAAAACTAACCCTCTAATGAAGATGATATCGCGTGGTGCAGATGTGGTTGATAGCACTGACTTTTATTCATAGTTCTTTGCCAATGTATTGTACATAAGATGGCCCGTAAGAACAGACCAACAAGTGTTTGAAGACAGGGGACACAATCCTAAAGAAGGGAGATACCGAGAGAAATTAAGAAATAGACTCCAGAGGTAATTAAGCTTCAGCAGAGTAAACAAAACACACCAGGATGTTTCCGTTTTGGTTTCTAGAAAATCCAAACTAAATTGCTCATAGGATCCTGTCCAGCCCACAAAGGGTTCCTTCCTAGGTCGGGAGTCTCCAGTCTGAGCTTGGAAGATGCCTTGGTAGGAATTAATGGGTATCCACCTCTTCCGTTATGCAGATGCGCTGTGGATCGACATCCCATGGATATAAACATCAATTTAACAATACTTTGTTCAGACTCCAATGGAAAAAACAGATCGTCAGCCAGAATCCTACAGATAATAAAGGGGAAAGATTATGGTAAGTTGAACATAATATTTGTTGATTTTTGTCTTCCTTCCAGTTTGGTTTTAGTATATTAATTGAAGAGAAAAGGATTTCTGCAAAATGAGATTTTGAGCAGGCCTGAAAACACTGATCTAAACAGTGGTGAGGAGGTCAATCACTCATGTTTTAAAGATCTGGGGACTCTCACAAGTCCTAAGGGTTCTATTTAGCTGATTGCCATTCCATTCCCATAGATTGAATAGTTCCCCTGTAGGTCCAAATAATGTAATGGTTTCAAAACTTAGTGGCTTCTACTTTGCTCATCTGCAAATCAACATGAATAACTTCAACTTATTTAATATAATAAGGGAGAACTTGTCCTAACATCTTATACACAAGGGAAAAAAAGTCTTAAAGGTAAGAAATTTCTCAATACTCAACGTGCTAGTTTCAGCAATTAGGAAAATTATAAGTGCTTCAAATAAGAATGTAATTTTTTAAAAGGTGTTTATTTTAGAGAAAACAAAGTAATCAACTTGTAAAAACAAGTCATGGGAATGGGGTGTTTAAACATTATTTTTAATAACATGATTACTGGGATATTTAGAGAGAACATATAAAAATAAAAAATTGGGTAATTGTGAAGTCCAAAATACTTAGTATTTTTCAATATTTTAGTATAGATTCCTTTTGAAGGTGGCTGTATATTAGATATCAGTATGGTTCAGAAAACATAGTAGATTAAGATTATTAAAATGATTTCTTCTTCTATTTACTCATTCAATACTGATATTTATTTAGCACCTGGAATGAAACACCTGTGTTAGTCCATATGGTACTCAGTTCTTGTACTTTATTTTTTTTTTTTTGGGGGGGTCGGGGCGTTTGTGTATATGTGAGCATCTTATAAAAGCCAAACCAAAGAATAATGTGGCTTAGGGGAAAAAAATCTAGTGAGCACTTGCTCAGTGGAATTTGGCCTATATCATAGATTAAATTCTACAATTACATTAATTGAGGTTGAGCTAAAACTAATTACAGTATCAACAGCTCTACATTTTTGTATTTTAAAACATGTCCACAGGGCTGACTGCATGCCAGATCTGTAGTCAGCACTTTATAAACCTTATTCATCTTATCGGTAGAACAATTCTGTGTGACCCGCACGGTCATTGGCCACATCTCTCTTGGATGAGTAAACTGAGGCACAGGTTAATTATCCTGCCACCCAGAATGGGAAAGGGTGGGTTTGAACCCAAGCAATCTGACTGTAGAATTCACAGTCAATTACACTGCATCTCAGGATGCTAAGTATATAAAACTAGCCTTTTCTAATTGTCATAACATCATATTCATTATAATGGTATGAGTCAAGCAGAGGGCTTTGAAATTACATTCCACAAAAGCTTTGGCATAACAGACTGCCTGTTCATGGTGACTTATTTGATATTAAAGACGTAAAAAGCAATTTTCAGGTTAATTTGCAACTGGCTTTGGAACTTTTCTATTGCAATTACCAGACATATATTTTAAGTAAGTAATAGCAAGCACGGCAAAACTGAGATGCATGACTATACACACGTAATTCCAAAGAAATTATTGGAGTGAATTTTGTTAACCACACGACTCTATAAACGAAATTCTTAAAATATTTTAAGTGAAGATGTTGACTAAGTGACAGTGCTTTTAAATATACAATAAATGTGGTTTTAAATATCTTTTATGTACTATGCTTTTATTTTCAGTTAAGTGTGAACTTTTAAAGATTTTATATAATTTGACAGAGGTCTGGTTTGATTTATTAAATATAAGTGGAAGTATTCTTCCAAAACATTGACTATCTTAAAAATTAAGTTGTTTTTTTTTTAAAGTACGTTGATTTTAAAGTAATAACCACAATTTCCAAAATACCCAAATTCTAATTGTATTGAAAACTTGATATATCCTGGTGTTCATGACAATAACCAGAATCTGTATTCTTATTTCATTAAAATTTACAGAGATCTTTTAAATCTTGATGTTATTTAAAATAAGACTAATTATTTTCACTAAATATCTAAAGCAAGGATTCATCTCTTGCAGCATGTAACCTATTTCAGTCAATTTCCTGAAATAATTATTGCTTGGCCTGCATATTTCCTTTTTCTTGATGGAAATATGTTTCTTTTGATCTAATGCTGTATTTCTTTCCAGAAAGTGAACCATCGCTTTTAGAATTCAAGCCGTTCAGTAATGGTCCTTTGGTTGGTGGATTCGTTTACCGAGGCTGCCAGTCTGAAAGACTGTATGGAAGCTATGTTTTTGGAGATCGTAATGGGTATGTTTCCTGGTACCACAATTTGATATACCAAATGACATATTCATCTTTCAGTCAATTGGTCAAACCACCACAAAGTATTCAAATGATTGTCTGCCTTAGGGAGTCAGACCTGGGACACACATGAATATTACAGAGATGCTTTTCAACAGCCTTGATTAAGTTCATAAAATGTTGAAGGGCCCGTGAAGTCTTCAGATGGACTTTTCATATTATTTAGGCTTTTCCCTTCATCCTCAACATAAATTTACCAAGTATATAATTTGAAAACTGTTGTTTTGCATGAGTTGTGAAATTTGTGTGTGTGTGTGTGTGTGTGATGCTGGGAATTAGAACCCAGGGCCTTGTGCATGCAAGGCAAGCACTCTACCAACTGAGCTATATCCCCAGCCTGAAAATACTTTTTAAACTATCTTAAAAGGCTAAATTTTTCTTTCTAAATTTTTAAGACTTTGAGCAATAGAACATGATTCGTCTCTGTGGGTAGGAATATTATAAAATCAGATTTTAGCATGAATTTTTTGAAGTCATATTGTGGATAATTCTAAGAAACTGATGAAATCCACCTGAAGAATCTTGTTCCCCAAGTCTCTAACATGCCGGCACATGGCAGAGCTGAAATGCTTGGGTGCTTTAAGGAACCCGAAAAGTACACTGACCCCGCACTCTTCCTCCTGTCCCTCTCTCTGATCAATAGCACAACATGGAGTCTAGTCCTGGAGAGGAAGCATCATTCTCTGGATGAAGGGGAGGGCTTTTTCTCATACTTAGGTACTTTTAGTGTCCCCTCCAAAGTATCATCTTTAAGCACTGTCTCAGAGGATGGGAATTTCACAGTACTCACACAGATAAGGGGCTATATATTCTTCCCTTGAGAAGCCAGGTCCATGACACAACAATCACTTCACTGCAAATTTTAATTGAAACATTTTATTGTCATCTTTAATCAAAAGCATGTTTTCATGGTAGGTTTCTGGTATGTTTTTGCTTTAGAAATTTCTTAACTCTCCAGCAAAGTCCAGTGACCAAGCAATGGCAAGAGAAACCACTCTGTCTTGGCACCAGTGGCTCCTGTCGAGGCTACTTTTCCGGTCACATCTTGGGATTTGGAGAAGATGAATTAGGTACTGTATGAATTACTTCAAATAAGTTCCATTCTCGCTTCCTTGCTCAAGATACTTTGTTCTGTCCTAAAGAATAACAGACTTGTCCTGCAGTGCTGGACATGTCATCCACAGCAGAGGATGAAATCCACTGGGGAGATGAAAGATGGGCCCACTATGTCTTCTTTTCTAGTAACTTTTCCCTGAGGAAAAATACCTTATCTTCATTCTCAAAATATAAAACTAATAAAACAGGAAAAGAGGAGGCATGACAAGAAAGGCTTTTGAGGTCCAAAGCAAGAATTTTTAAATGTCTTCTGATATTTTCTCTGTTTATATTCTCTATCTGAAAACCTTCCATCTACTTGTGTGACTTGGAATAAATAAATATATAAATAAATACTTGTTGGAATCTGAAATTCCCTACACCCTTTATTTTTTAATTTTAACTTAAAAAAATTTTTTCCCCACTTGGGCATGGTATTTGATTTGTACATTTTCTTTCCAACAGAATAGAAACTACCTATTGATGATCCATAGAATGACTTTTTTTTTTTTTTGGCAAGCTTAGCAGACTGTACCCAGGAAGCAAAAAGAAGTTGAAATTGGAATGTGATCAAACAGACAGTGAAAATTTTACTCTCTTTCTATTTTAAATTACAGGGATAAAGGTAGCTTTTATTATTTCCTTTAAAGAACAATATCCAAATAAACCATGGCTCTTATGTTTCATCAGCCTCAGAAATGAATTTCTAGTCACTGAAAGAGTACCTGTTTCCTATTTCAATCAGAACACTTTCTCTAAAAGTCCAGATTGATTTTCTTTTTACATTAGGTGAAAAGATTCATCAGAAATAGTTCCATGCCACTCACTTAGATTAATAAGGAACTCAGACAAGACTCCTGCAACACATAAAGTATTTCAGAGTCATGGGAACCTAATGATTCAAAGGGAAGAAGTCCATCTGTTCTTGTCCCAGAAGTGAAAGCATTTTACAACCAATTTTTCCCTGACATCTTCCTACCCCACTCAAAGAAACCCCACAGATACTTTTTCTTGCTTACATCTTCTGTAATGTAATTTAAATTTTATGGGCAAACTTTGATTTTAAGAATAATTAAATTGTGGCCGAGTTAGAAATTAATGTGTAGATGTTGTGATTGAGTCATTTTGATTTTCATGGACAAGTACTCAACATCAGTCACGTTAGCATCATTGCTATTGGCTCAGATATCCCAAATATCTGTGAACACTTAAGAGTATGTTGCATTGGAAGCAAAACTAAAAAAATAAAGCGAATGCACTCCTAACTCTACTACCCTGTATATACTTCATAATTAAGATAAATAAGCCAAGTGTGGTGCACACCTGAAATCCCAATGACTCTGGAGGCTGAGGCAGGAGGATTGCAAGTCCAAGGATAGCCTCAGCAGTTTAGTGAGACCCTGTCCCAAAAATAAAAAGGACTGGCTCAGTGGTAAAGAGTTCTTGGGTACAATCCGCAATAAATAAACAAATATACTTTTGATGAAATACATCTTAGCTGGAACTCTCTAGCTTTAATTCAAGATCCATGCAAGAAAATGAGCAAGGTTTTGCACCTTTTGAAGCAAAAAGTTTTGAGAGTCTGGTGTTTGGGGTGTGTTACTTTCTTCAACTATAAAGTCAGGATGGCTTTGTTGTAAGGATTAAATGAGGTAAACTTATAAAGTATTTGACTTTTGCTTATGTCCTTTTTCCATTTCATGTTTATTTTCTCTGAAGAGTCTATATTTTTATCGTAAACCTTGTGACATCTTTTCAGAAACAGAAAAGTAGTTATATGCCCAGTAAAAACATGGAATCTTCTTCCAGAATACATCAAACACTATTTCATAGTGTGGACAGAATGAAAATTTTAAAACCTGATAGACATATAATCACAAATACAGTTTCTAATTTCTATTCATGTGACTCATTCTATACATTGACATATGATATCAATATCCCCCTCACTCCTTCTCCCTTCCTCTCCCTCTCTCTCCTCAATGTTTAATATCTTTTTAAAAGCTAAAGATTAAAAATGAGCACCTCCATTGCATCTGGCTCAAATTAACAGTAACAACCTGGTAATCAAAACCTTTCAATCTTGGGCAAAAGATAAGTTTAAGTAAAACGTATCCATTCGACACTCATTCCATAAATATTTATTGAGCACCTACTCTGTTCTAAAGGGATACAGTAATAAATAAAAGACAAAAAAATTCTGCTAACATAAAACTTGTAAATGAGGAGGACAATTACAATCTTTTAAAATATACTGTAGGTCTAGGCGCAAAGAGGGGTACTTGGGAGTTGAAGAAGTACAGTTTTCAGTACCGCAGTCAGAAATGGTGATACTTAAGCACGAATCAAAGGAAGGGAGATGGTGACCCTAGTGGAGGCTTGGGACAAACCTGCCTCACATGTTCAAAGCCAAGAGGCCAGAGAGGCTAGAGAAGGATGGGCCAGGGGCAGCAACGGGGGGCTCTAAACAGGCCACTGTCAGGACTCACTTTTGCTCTGAGAGGGATGAGCAAGGGCTTGCCCTGGAGCCTTAATGGGATATGGAAAGAGGTGACCGGAGTCCAGAGTGCTCTGCACGCGCGCTGAAGTTAGACTGATGGCGCACGGTCGTCAACTTTAGGCCAAGGAGCTTCCTGAAGAGGAATGCAGATAGAGACAGAGACAAATGCATGCAGTGCTATGAATTAACTTCCTGTTATTTCTTTCCTCAACAGGTGAAGTTTACATTTTATCAAGCAGTAAAAGTATGACCCAGACTCACAACGGGAAACTCTACAAGATTGTAGATCCAAAAAGGTGAGGTTTCTTTTTATTCTTTGCAATCAATCAGGTAAGAGTCTTCCTCCAGTTATTTGACTTCATTCAAATGAGGCGCGGAAGAGTCGTATTTAAGCAGTCAGCTGGGATGAACACTTCACCCATTCCATGTGCTGAGGGCATCCTGAGAGGACCCTCTACCCCATCTTCCAGGGCAGCACTTAACCTCTCGGAACTCTAAGGGCTCATTCATGCTCCTGTCACTCCAGCATTGTATTTGTGAAATCTGAGTTCTCGGTTAAAAGCCAGGGGAGGAACTCGACGTGTGAGGCAGTGGCTTCGGCTCTGGTGTTGGAAGGAATAAACCCCTTATTTTTGAGAAAACGAGAAACATGCTGGCAGACGTTGCAGCTGCTAGTATGATTTTTCTTAGGTCATCAGGATGAGTTGTTTTGGCAGTTCCACATCTGAGCCTCATTTCGAAACTATCTGAGAGCTCAAGGCTCTCATGAAGACGACTGTGACCAAACAAATGAAAACCAAAGAAGCACTTTGTTATTGGCCTCAGCCAAGGGTAGAGTTGACTGTTTTAAGCCTTTAAAGAATATGTTCACCCTGCTCCTGCTCCTTCCCATTCTCCCATCTCAACATACAACTTGCCCATCAGCTTAAATTATCATTAATCAGTTGTTAATTTCATGCATGAGACCCAAAGTACCAGAAGTTGCTAAAATTATGTTAAATAGACATTAGTTAGAAGTTTAGAAAAAACTCACTATATTGCAAGACCTAAGAGTTCTTACTCTTTAACAAAATGATGCTGCAAATACCAGATTGCTCCTGCATGAATTTTGTAGAATTTTAAGTCTCTTTCAAGAGAATAAATTCTAATAATCTGAAAAGTTTGTGAACAGGATTTAAGTATGTGAACAGGATTATTTTGGAAATATGAGCTAATTACTAGCATAGTAGTGTTCAGGATGTCAGCATCACAGCAAAAATGTTTTTTCAAAACCTTTGAGGCAGAATTTAGAGAACATCAACTTTAAAAAGAGAACAATATAAAGGCATTCCTTGAAAAGTTGACCAAAGGCATTGACGTAGTTCCGTTTTTAAATTACTATCTGTAAATTGTCAGTTGTGTGTGTTTTCCTGAAAGAGCCACTGACTAACAAAACGCATGTCCTCTTCTCCTTTTTATACAATAAAGCCCTTTCTTTCCCGGGGGGGAAATATAGGTTGACATTGTCTACTGCAGAACAAAAAGAAGAATAACCCATTTTAGCTAGGTACAGTGGTGCATGCCTGTAATCCCAGCAGTTCTAGAGGCTGAGACAGGAGGATCACAAGTTCAAGGACAGCTTCAGGAACCTAGTAAGACCCTAACTCAAAATAAAAAAAAAAAAAAAAAAAAGGGCTGAGGGTATAGTGCCCCTGGGTTAAATCTCCAGTACCAAAAAAAGAAGAAGAAAATGAAAAAAAAGAAAGAAAAAGAATAAGCCCCGTTTTGAATGGTCTCTGGCCAGTATCACATGTCACATGCTGATAGCATTGCTTTCCCTATTTGAAAGTACACGTTATCTTTCACAATGGGAAAATTATCCATCCATACATGGTAGGGATTTTATTTTTTTTCTTTTTGAGTGTGAAACCAGTGTCCTCTTTAAGAAAAGCAAATAAATGAATGAAAAAACTATCAGACCAGGTACTTGTTGAAATTGGCAACATTAAGAATAAAATTTAAACTAATGTTAATTCATGAAATAGCAGCTTTCTAATGATTTTTAATGAGGTGTAGGGATTTCACTCAGATCTAATGCAGTTAGTTCCAAAATACTCATTGTTGCTCCATTATGTTGTCAAAGTCGATGTGCTTTTTGCAAGCTTCCTGGTCGTATTGTAATGAAGTCTCCCTTCTCACAGAAAAAAAAAAAAAAATCTGTCTTCATCTGGTTTGTTTAGTCTGTTGGTGAGTGGAGGTGGATTTTACACCTTCAGTCTATTATTAGTGTCTAATTACCAGGGTTGCCATAAGGGACCTTGGCTTGTGATCTTAGGGCCCCCTCTAGTAGGGTGGTCTCAGAGTGACATCCTGAAAGCCTGACTTCTCATTATGGTGCCTGTTTCTGGTGAGTCATGTCATGTGTGGGGCCAGGGTTAGGATCTGTGTTTGCTTTTCAGGAGGTGGGGGAAGTGACAGAGTCCCTAAGACACCGTCCTTGGACACAGGCATAGGCAAACACTTTAAAATCCAACCGACTATAAGAAAACTAATGTTTTCATAAACATTTGTTGGGAGCCTCATGCTGTTTCGATTTGGACGCCAACGTTTATTATTATAGTATTTCTCCCTAGATGAGTTGAAGTTCTTTATAAGCAGACACTTAAGTATGTGAACAGGATTATTTTGGAAATATGAGCTAATTACTAGCATAGTAGTGTTCAGGATGTCGGCATCACAGCAAAATTGTTTTTTCAAAACCTTTGAGGCAGAATTTAGAGAACATCAACTTTAAAAAGAGAACAATATAAAGGCATTCCTTGTTATGTAAAAATCTAACTCAAATTAAGCTCTTAATTGTATTCTTGTGGAGAAGCCCCCAAACTTGTAAGAATAATGTTTTCACAATAACTTTCAAACATCAATAGCTTTTGTGGCCCTGGAAAAGAAAAATACCAAATTATATTTTTTTTTATTTCAAGAAGTTACATTTTTACTGTAGGATTTATGCTTTTTTAATGGTTTTTTCTAGACACACACAATGAGATAAAGTCATACATAATCATATGCAATATCTCTTGAGTCATTGAGGCAAAAGCAGAGGAGATTCCAAAATTACCACTTCAACCAGTTAAGGACAATTTGGTCCAAGGCTGTGAATTACCTAACCATTTACATAAGCTTCAGGTCATTTACAGTAGGTCCGCCTTCCCAGAAAAGGAAGGTGAGATAACCTGCAGTGAACATCAAATGTCATTACTTACTATGAAACAAAAAAGAAAATTCAAAAATAAAAGAATACAACCATATTTCCCTCAGGCTTACCTAGCCTTCAGAAAGAACGTAAGGAAAAAAAAAATATCTGTAAGAAAACAGCACAGGAATGAATTTGCCTTCATGTCAGAACTTTGAACACACTTATGAGATATCCTTGGGGATGGAGCAGTCACATCTCATGACAGAATGGAGGTAGGATCATCAAGTCAATTCCAGTCACCTGGCTGGCTCACCCAGCTCCCAGGGTTCCAAAATGTCTGTAGTACTGAGTTCAGCATGCCCTGACCTGATAGACAAATAGGTTTCCATATACCGAGCACAGAATCTGGGCACTACTTCCAGTTCCACTTAGTAGTGCCCTGCTGGACTGGTCAGGAGCAAGGCTGTCCTAGTAGGACAGAGTCAATTGTCTACTCTCTGAATCTTCCTCAGATGGGATCTGCCCATGTCATTTCACTTACTGTGCCCTGTTGACATCAAAAAAGTACAGATGATCATTCTTTCCCTGCCACATTTCCACAGAAGGCCCCAAAGAGATGAATAATGTATTTAAAGCCTATTAAATAAATCTTTAGTATTAATGGTGCTTTTTCCATTCATTTTTATAATTATTTTCAGGTAATTTCTCAACATTTGAGGTTCTCTTAGTTCCAAAATTGGGATCCAGAGGTCCATGGAGGTTTAATGAGGATTTAATATCTAATTTTCAAATGTCCAAGTCTCATCATTGATTCTTGGTCTTTACTAAATCTTTTCAGAATTAATCAAATGGTCCTGGAGGATGGAATTAAAGAACTCTGACAGAGTTATGTAACTTCCAAGCTTTATTTCTACTGAACACATTTTTTTTTCTGTCAATTATGAACAGATGGTCCTTCAACATTTTTTTTCAGATGAACCTAAACCAAATGACGTTTGCTTGCTTTCTCTCTCTTTCTTTCTTTCTCTTTCTTTCTTTCTTCCTTCCTTCCTTTCTTTCTTTCTTTCTTTTACTTTTGAAATGTTTCTAGGGTTTATTTCTCCAGGAATCTGTAAGGCAAAGTGATTCTGAACCATGCTGATTCACTTACTTTGTACCCACTGTTATTATATTTCAGCATGTTGCTTATCTGTTGCCCAATCACGTCCCGCAGACCATTTCCTTAAGAGTCAATAAACTAACAATGCAAATTCCAGGCTTGAGAGGTCATTTTATAGAAATGTGGTATTTCCAAACTCCTCCATGACTAATATCAAAACTGCCCCTCACGTCTCCTTCCCCACGCCTGCCCTCCCCCTCCGAGGTGCCACTTACACCCTTTATTTATTCTTTCTTAATATCGTCATCCTATTCCTTCTGACGTTGGATGCTGCAGGACTGATTTTTTTTTCCTCCAAAACAATCACTTCATAAGGGGAAATGGGTTCTGTTTATCCTTTGCATGTGTCTCAGGGAGCTGGCAGGCAGCTCTCTCATCGTAAAGAAAGTCATACATAATAGAGCAGCTTTAGCCCAATAAGCCAGTCTAGTCCCAATTCATCAGCCCAAGTTTTATGCAAGTGGCCCCCTAAGTTGATAAATTCCCACAGTGCCTGTTGACCCAGCTGCCAAGTCCTCTTGCAGCAGGTGGTGTTTTCATGGCCACCCTGGCAGTAATACAAACTGTTTAGCAGCTCCATTGACCTTTCAGCTATTAACAGGGATACAGGCTCCACCAGGGACCAGTTTTCAAACATGACCGAATTTCTTAACACTAGAGGTCATGAACAAGTACATGCCCTATAAAAATCCATTCAGCATGGTGGATTTGGAGTCTGAAAGACAAGGAAGCATTTTCCACATTTTTTGCTATTATTGTTAATTCTGCATCTCCAGTAACCAAAAATGGATGCACAGTTATCTGCCTGCTTGTATTTCATTCCTTATATACTATATTTCATGTGTGGTAAAATACCTTTCTGACAAATCTTTCCTAAGCTGCCACATAGCATCTGAAATTTCAAAGATATTTTATCAAAGAATTGGGAAAGATCAAAGTCAGAACTTCCAATGAATGGATAA